ACACAACACCCAATGGGCCAGGGGACTCGGGGGAGGGAGAGACCCCCGGGCAGGTGACCCCAGATGGACTCGTGCTAGACGCACTCGACGGGACGCTTCAGGGGAAAGCCTCCTTAGGCCCCGTCCCTGTGCCTGCAGTAGGAAGGGGCAAGTCCAGCGCTCCGTCCGGTTAGGGCAGAGGGGAGAGGAGGGGAGGAATGGGAGGAGGTAAGGAGGGTGGGCTGCAGGGTGGGACCATGAAGGACCCAGCTCAACTCCTCTGGGAGAGGGGGACACAGCCAGGAGCGTGTGCCCTCAGTGGGCAGGACCACAGCTTGCTGGCCAGGTGGGCGGTCATGGGGTCCATGTAGGGGGTGCCGTCAGCCAGAGGGGACAAACCCCATCCACACCCTTGGGGCAGTGGAGCCCCGGAGTAGGGGCAGGCTTCTGGGGCTGTTCCTAGGACTGCACTCAGTGATAATCAGAAAACGGCGCGCCCTGGGGACCAGGCACGGCAGGGGGAATCAGACGGAGTGGAGGGAGACCGGAAGTGTTGCGGTGCTGAGCCTGTGGGCTTAGCAGCGAACTACATCTTGGGGTGGGAGTCACGCAGGGATGAGGGGGCGTGCAGAGAGGAGCACAGCCCTGCTCCGACTTCCACCTTCCCAAGCAGCACCAGGGGCTTTGTTGAACCGCAGCTTCCGACCCTCAGGCCCGTGGGTCTGGGCAGGGCCGGACGTGGCCCTCCCTGCTCTGACCACCACGAGAACAGAGTCCAGTCTCTGCCCGTCTCCAGCAGCGCTTAGAATGGTTTACTTCACTGCTACTTTTACTTCCTCTCCATCTTGGTTTTCTCATCTGCTTTATAAAAATTGCAACCTTGTTGCATTTGTATGTTTTGGTAAAACCGTGTCAAACCACGTCTGGAATGAGAGAGTGAATAAGCAAGAAAAGACCATCTAAGTTAAATCGCCTCTTGAAAACATGCAGGCAAGCTTGGACTTGGAGGAGACCTGCTCTGCACGCACTTGTCACCACCAGGTGGACCAGCTTGTCAAGGGGCTCCTGCACCTGCTGTGTCTATAGCACAGGGCGCTGGGGGCCTCAGCACAGCACGCTGGACGGGATGCCAGGACATGCTCCCGCCTGTAGCCAGGTGACTGGCGTGGGGAGGGTCAGGGCAGGGGGCTGCTCCAGGTCCAGCTGAGGGGGGAACTCAGCTCGCTGGAGCCCGGAGCCACGTGGCCACCAACTGAGCAGAGACAGAGCTGGGCATGGATCCTTGGCAGTTCAAGGCCAGGCCCAAAGCAGTTGAAAGGGGAGCAGCAGTCTCCATCAGGCTGTGCTTCTGGGTAAAGATGGGGTCTGTGGAGTGGGTGGCGGTCCCCCTGCCCCTACACACACAGTAAGGAGCCTTTGGTGCCACAGGGACCTCCCTCAGCTCTGGGGCAGGGAGAGGAAGGAGCTGCTCCTACCAGGCAGCAGATCCATCTCTCACCACGCTCGCTGCATTCCTGCGACAGCCCTGTCAGCAGGCAGCGTTGCCTCCACTTTCCAGATAGAATGCAGTACCAAGCTCAAGGTCAGCCGCTCGGAGGTGTGCAGCCCGGCCGCTCCACAGGAGAGTGCGCCCGGTGGCGGTGGCAGCAGCCAGCTCTGGCTCCCTTTGGCCCCACTGCTGCCTGCACTCCCCACAGCCTGCAGGACACACACACCCACAGAGGCAGGCGCACATCCTCATGCCTGGCCCGCTCCACTGTCCCTCTCCCTGCTCACAGCCAAGGGGGACTGGTCCCGTGGGCTGCTGATGCCGCTGTCCCCTCTTGCAAGCCCCCAGTCTCCACGAACATCTGGTCTCTGGGAGGATTCCCGCTTGCCAGTTCCCACGCGTCTCCCGTGAGGCCATGGGTGGTGGAGGGTGCTAGGTGGACCCTGGCCTGGGTGTGGCACCTCTCTATAGCAGGGGAGGTCTAACCTTTCTATGGTTTGGCTCCAGTCACTAACCTCTGGGCAGCACAATACTGCCCTCAACAGAGCCACACATGTGACCACGACAGGGGACTCAGAAGACCCGAGGCGTGTGTCAGCTGCAACAGAGGTGGCAACGAAGTCGGGATGTCCCTCTGGGACCTTCGTCCCACGTGGTCCCTTTTAAACGCCAGGGCAGTGCTGAGGCCTGGGGCTCTTCTTCCCCCTCTTCTCCACCACAAATGTGGTCTGACCGCAGGGTGGGCCTTGCACACACCCGTGCACACTTTCACGGCCCTGATCATCAGCGTGACCCCTGAAGCCCAGGGCTGCCGCTCTGCACTTGCTGAGAGAAGAGCCCTTGTCTGTCCAGTCCCTGGGGGTGTCCGCCCTGGGGCTCAAAACACAAACGCATCTCCTCCCCAAGTGCACTGCAAGAAGGAACCTAGAGGCAGACAAAGGCAGAACAAAGACCAGCTTCCCAGGGCGGCAAGAGGGAGACCCCGAAGCCAAGTCAGCCCTGACTCGCGTTAGCCGCCGCCGCCACCGCGCTCACCAATCAGCCCAGCAACCCACCCAGGAACAAAAGGGCCAAGGAATCCATAAACTCGCTGAGCTGGAGCGCCCTGCAGAGGGAGCCGCGCTGCTCCAGTGCGCAGGGCCCTGCACACACGGCTGCTCCCACCTCACCCCGTGGGCTCCAGGGACACGCGCTCTGCAAGCCCTAGCCGTTCCCAGGAGTCGGCCGAACAGCCATTTCTTGCTGCTCTGTTCAGTGACAAGCCACCCATGTCTTAGCCCAGACTCCTGGCCATGGAAGGGGCAGAGAGAGGGGCCTGGATCCCACAGCAAGTAGGGCACATGGAGGCACAGATTGGCAGGCAGCTGGGGGGCAAAAATGCAGTCATCCCCGGCACCTGCTCGTGCCCGGGACTCTGGCCCCCTGGCCCGGGTGTGCAGCGGTGAGCTGAGCCTGCACCGGAAGTTCAGAGAGGTGCGCACGGACGCCTTTCTCCTGGGCTGCCCTCGCCACTGGCTCCCTGTGGATGGAGGCTGGCGCCCCTCCCTTCCTGGGCTTATCAGCAAGGCAGCAGAGGATACAGTGTTGCCAACCGGCCCAGGCCTTAGGGCTTGCTGCATGCACTGGCTGCCTCCTTCATCCAGTCCACCCTGGGTGGCTTCTAAAAGATCAGGATTCCAAGGGTCTGCAGAGACCCCCCCACACCTCCTTAGCTGCCTTGCGGGGTGGGACCTACGTCCTGAGCTAGGTCAGACCCCACTAAGGAAGCTGTGTGCAGAGCAGCTGGGCAGCTGGCCTGGGCTCCAATGCTGTCGGCCGAGCCACTCCCCACCCAGTCCCATGGGCTGGGCTCAGCACCCACCTGACCGACGGGGACCTGGCTGGTGTTGTTTAAATGAACCGACGCCTTAATCCACAGTATTGTGCTCAGAAGACCCATGTCAGAGCTGCACGGGACAAAAAACCATCTTTGCAAAGTGAGCAACTCCATGCTCCAGAATTCACAGCAGTGATCAGCGAGGGGCCCAGACGCATCTGACTTGGCCCGAGGACTGGGGGACTGGCTCCCGCGACCGAGCGCCCGCAGGCAGCTCGCATAGTTGCCGGGCGGTAGGTGCTGTGGCAGCTCTCTCGTGTAAAGGACGCTAGGTGGGACAGGAAGAGGAGGGGTGGGCGAGGCCCACCTTCAGCATACACAGACATACTCCTCTCCTACCTTCCCACACCCCTCCCTGCCGCCACGTCGGCTCACAAACTCGGTTTAGCGCTGCTCCTCTCATTTCACTCAGAACAGCCGGAGGCCACCTGTGTGTCAGGAAGCCGGGCGGGGTGCTGTCTCTGTAGCAGGCCCTTTAGTCCCCACATTAGGAACCCTGCAGGCTAGGACGCTTGTCCCCATTTCAGAGAGCGGCAGTGGGGAGCCGAGTCGTGAGCTGTCTGCTCTGTTACGAGCAGGAATCGCATCACCCAGCCGTCACAGATCCCTGCCTCCCAGGCAAGGATCCGAGCCCCAGCCAGTCTCTGCCTCCTCACACCCGGTCATGACCCTGCACGAAACCCAAGGTCACGAGGGACGCCTGCGAAGGTGGTAGGGAGGACGGGACCAGGCTGAGCCACTGGAAGCCTTGGCCTCCGTTCAACCAAGCTGCAGGCTCCTCCGTCCCTGGTCCTTGGCTCCCTGCCCACGCAGCAAGACCCTGGGAAAGTAAACACACGTTTGTCACCCTGACGGCACAATGAGAGGAAACCGGGGCCCAGGGTAGGAGCAGACAGGGCACACAATGGCCAGCGTGGCAGGGCCGCCAGGCAGGGGCTGCCTCCCGTCCAGCACAGCCCCTCCCGAGAGCCAGGCTGCCCGGCAGAGGAAGCCCTGGGCTGAGGCAGGGCCCGGAGGGTCCAGGACGTCTTTCTGCAGACACATCATTGCCAGGCAACCGTGGGGCAGTGGGGCAGTGGGACAGGTCCCCCCTCCGCCCTGCCCGCCTGTCCCTGTGGATCCGGGTGCGGCTCGGGCATCATCCTGAGCTAACGATGGAGGCGGCCGCTGGCTCGGCAGCGTCAACCCTGCCTCACCCTGCAGCCGCTCAGGCCCATTTGGTCGTAGTAGGCGACCGAGCTCTCAGGGCAGACAGGGGCACAGGTCTGGGGGAGCTCAGCCCCAGGCCCAGGCCCTCCGTCCAGCCATGCTGGCACCTCCACGTCCACACAGGCGCCTGGCCTGCAAGCCACCTACATGAGCCAGCGGGAAGCGTGCGAAGCTCCCCGTGCGGCTGTTGCCTGGTGTTTGGGAAGTTGGCCCTGAGGCGAGGGGAAGCAGGGGACAACCGTCCCCTGGGACTCGCAGCCCAACCAAACGGGGACTGGCACGTCAATCCTGTCACTGCCCCGGCGAGCACAGGGCGAGGTGGCATCAGGCTGGTGGCTGCCACCGTGTGACCCCAGGTGAGAAGCCTGACCGGCTGGGGGCGTCGCCGAGGGCCGAGAGCACCATGCCCTGTGCCAGGCCACCGGGCCAGGCAGAGCCCCCACGCACCTGTTGAAGAGGTTGTTGCGGCGAACCATGCGCAGGAAGCCCGTGGGGTCGGTGACTGAGTTGAGTTTGCTGTTCATCTCTTCCAACTGCTGGTCCATGATGTCCCCGGCTTCGCTCTCCGTCTCGCTGCTGGCACAGGCTCTGCACGAGAGTTGCCGGGAAAGCCAATCAGAGAGAGGAAGTGCCGGGCTGCAGGAGTCGGCTCTGAGGCCCAGGCCTGGGGCCTCCTGGGACCAGCATCACCAGGGCCCTCTGTGGGACCCAGGGCAGGTGGGCTGGACAGGCTTCCCAGAGGAGAGCCGAGTGTGGCTGTGCGCCAGTCCCCCCAGTCACTGGGTGCCTGCACGGTGGCAGGCACGTTCCAGAGGAGGGCACGCCTCATCCAGTGCCCCACGCCGCGGGCACTGCTGGACACGGAGGCCAAGGCAGGCCGCGGAGGGGGCCTTTCCCAAGCTCGGCTGAGTTAATAAACCCATACTTCCCCAAAGCAGACTTCCACAGAGCTTCTCACAGTGCGTTTTAAAGAAACAGATACACCCAGGAGCGCCCTGATTCATCAGCAGGATTAAATGACAAAAGACTGGACGCTGAGGCAGAGGTGGCCGTGATGGGCACTGCCTGCCTGCCCCTCCTCTCCACATCAGCCCCCGGGCAGCGCCGGCTCCACCAAGGCCCGCCTCCCGGGAGGCCCTGACCTCTCTTAGACTTTGGTGCAACCTGAGTGATGTTCACCCGGGGGACAGCTTCTTTTGAGGCTCCCTGTGGACCAAGGACCAGTGTGGACAGCAGAGAGTGCTGGGGCACTGGAGGCAGGAGGTGGGAGGTGGGGGGTGGGTTCCTGTCACTGAGCAGGAAGCAGCTGGGCTATGAGACCGTGGCCTACACCTGACGGCCCCCTGGCGCTGAGTCCGACAGGGAAGGCTGACGAGCCCCTCGCCGGGCCACTCCGGGCCGAGTGGATGCAGTGTGGCCCGAGTGCTTGGGAAGCCTGGGCACTGCACGTGAGCACAGCCCCGGGCTGCCGGTCAGGGTGACGGGGTGGCAGGTGCTGGTTGCCTGTCAGTGTGTCTCCAGGGGACAGCGGCATTGTGTGCTGGACTGAGCGGACTGCCCTCCCAGGGACAAATGGGCACCGTCCCCTGCGGAATGCCTGGACAGGATGAAACCTGGAGCAAGAGAATTCACACCCTGTCCCTATTCCAGCCTTCAGACCTGGGGTCAGAGTGTAGTGCACACATTGGCTCCCCTGGGCCCGCCACTTGCCAGTTGTAGATCCTGGGACCCCTCAGCTGCCATAACCATGTAAGCCAGTTCCTCACATCCCTTTAGAGAAATAACTCTCTAGCCAGAAACACAGCCCACTGTGCATTTCAGCATATATAACTGGATCGCATTTGTGTGTGTGTGTGTGCTGGGGGGAGCAGGTCTCTCTCTGGAAGCCCAGACAAGAACACGTGGTAACCACCCCAGAGCCCGCTGGAGGCTGCGGAGGGCCGCACCAACAGCTGCGTTTCTTCCCAGCCTAACCCAGCACCGTGCTTGGCACCCAACAGGCTGTGCCCACCTGGGCTGCCCGACGCTAGCAGTGGGCTGAGCCGTGGCGGGCAGATGCGGTCCGATCTGTCCAGCACCCGGAGGGAAAGGGCTGCGATTGTCTCTATCCAACATCAGAGCAGACGCAGGCTGCAGAAGCCACGGGGTGTGGCTGGGAGCAGGGGGTGGGGGCTGGGCTGGGTCCAGCTCTGGCGTGGGGCACTCCCCGACCCCCAGCCCAGGCTCCAGGCTCCTGGCTTCTCTGCTGGGGAGACTGGGGAGGGCGGGGCCAAACACAGGAGCGAGCAGCCAACTTCCAGCATGGAAACCAATCGCCAGGGCCTGCACCAGGCCAGGGGACGAGGACTCATTCCTCTCGCCGCCCGGCGGCAGGCGTGAACTGCTCCCAGGGGAGCCGAGGGCCCTTCTCAGAGACCCTGGTAAATATCACTCAACGAGCTCCCCCGTCCAGGGACACATCTATCATCTGAATGCGACTGCCCGCCTGCAGCTGAGAAATCTGCTTGTCAGTCAGCGCCCTGCAGAGGGGAGAAGAAGTGGCCAGGACCGGGATCGGCCTCCATTATCTCGCCATCCCCACTGCTGCTGTCAGTCGCCGGCCGAGCCCTCAGACGCTCCTGCTTAATGGGGCTGTTTCCTGTCCCCTGACCCTTCCGGGTGTTAACGCGGAGGACGCAACCAACAAGCGATGTCACAGATAATGGGACCTCCCATTTACAAAGCAAGACGCATCTCTAAAGCAGGGGCCCCAAGAGCGCACCATCCCGGCGACTTCCCAGAGGGGACAGATCGCCCCCAGCGTGTCAACTTGCTTTCGCTGGGCATGCTCACTGAGCGGCCCCGTGGGCAAGGGCTGCAGGGGCTGCCCAGGGGGCGGTCACATGATCCTGGCCTCCCAGACACTGCCAGTGCAGTCCCATGGCTGCCGGAGGGCACCGCTTCCCACGATCGCCTCCCACTGCCCCTCCTCATGGTGCTTTCTACTCTGATCCCTACGACAGCTAGCAACCCGTTATCTTAGACTCTCCCAGTCCACACTTCCGTGTGCTTTATCATTCCTCCGGATGGTTCTGGTGGTACAGGCTGTTTGCTAAATAAAAATTCAGATAAAGCCCCCTGCTACCAGATCCCCCTGATTCATTCACGTGCATTATTAGCACAGCCAACCCTGAGACACGTGCATTGCGCAGGTCAGAGCTGGGGCTGGGATGACCTCAAGTGAAGACAGTGGCTGCCCCAGAGCAGCTCAGAGAAGGTGCTAGATTGTGGGGAGCAACTGGGAGCAACTCGGACTAGCCTGTTACTGGAATTAAGACTTATTCTATGCATCTGCTCTCCCACAATATGGCGCTGGGAGAGGAGGAAACAGCTTCTACACAGCTGCCTCCAGTTCAACCAACAAACAGCAGGACCTGCTCCTGATTGGAGGAGAGCAGCGTACTCGGCGTGTGGGCAGCTGAGTTGGGATTGGTGGAAGAGGACTATAAAGGAGGAGAGAGACAACATGCACCAGGAACATCTAAGAGGAACATCTATCCGAATAACACCTGTGCAGCCCCCGAGAGAGCCGGCCGGCGGTGTGCTGCTCCCCCGCGGAAGTGGGGAAAGTGGCCAGGGGGAACTGCCCTTCCACGGAGGTGGAAGGGTCGGTAGCCAACCCGGGAAGAACCAGCAGCAAACCCGGGGAGGGCCGAGCAGACAAAAGAACAGCGCAGGGTCCTGTGTCATTCCTCTACGAAGAGAGGGAGCGACTCCTCTCTTGGTGCCGTGACTCCGATAAGAAGCCTAGGCAGGGTTTAGTGTCGTTCCTCCACGAAGAGGGGGAGCGACATAATGGTGCCGTGACTCGGATATGAAACCTAGGCAGGGTTTAGTGTCGTTCCTCCGCGAAGAGGGGGAGCGACACTAGATGGGCGTGCAAGAGATAATTACACACTGGCACGTGCACGTGTGTATACAGAGACCAGATGGGATGGCGAGGGAGAGCGCAGGAGTGGGGGAATTCCAAGGAACAGAAGTTGTACAGAGAACGCCCCTGGAACACTCAGACTGGTGGCCTCATTTTGCCCGCTGTAGAAAACCTGGAGGGAGAGGGCCCACGAGCCAGGTGGCGAGGCAGGAGGGCCGAAGCACTAGGCACTGAGACGGCCCCGCCCCTCTCTCCCCATTCTACTCACAGCCCAGCCCTGTCCACCCCACTCTGCGCCCTTGCTCCTGCCCTCTCAAAGCCCTCCGGGCCTAGGGGTTCTGGCTCCGCCCTCCTTCCCTGGCCCTTTCCACTCCTGGACCCTGGGGGGGAGTCGAGGGCTCTGTCCTTGCAGCCTGACCAGGCACCTACCAACGTCTGGGTTCCTTGTCCCGGCGCCCTGCCTGGGTGTGGGTGGAAGTTCGAGCTTTAGATCATCAAGGTCATGGGCAGCAGTGAGTGAGGGCCAAGGCTAACGTCTGGACACGCCAAGCCTGGTGTGAGGCAGTGGAGGGCACACTGCGGGGTGAGAGGGAGCAGTCCAGAGGTGGGCAACAGCTTCTCCGTGGCACCCAGCTGCCCCGCCAGCATCGGCCCCAGGGCCCTGCCTGCTCGGGGACTATCCATCACGCCATCTCCAGTGGCAGGCTCCAAAACGTTCACGTGCGGCTTCCCGAGAGACACAACGGCCCATGAATCAAGCGTGTGGAGCCGTGCCAGAGCTCACCCTGCCCTTGGGGACGGGGCTTGGCGAGAGGCTCCAGAGTGGATTTTCATTTGCAATCATGGCCTGCTGACCTCTGCAGCCCCACCCTGTCTGTCATCCTCTGACAGCTGCGGCGGGAGCCTCACACAGGTGCACTGTTGGCTGTGGCCCGTCCCCCCTTCACTCCCCCTCCCCCATCTCCAGGCTCCTGCACCGATACCCAGTTATTTCCACTTACAACCCTGAAGTGGGCAACGGCGAGGAGGCCTTGTCTTCCACTTCCTGTGCACATGGCCGTGAGGTGGCTCCTGCTCTGCGGGCCGCTGCCCCACGGGAGCAGCCAAAGGCAGCCAAAGGCTGCTTCATCCAAACGGGGAAGCCCGAGGAAGCCACAGTCTCTCCGTCCGCTTTGCTGCTGCTGCCCTCCGTCAGAGCATCCCGACTGCAGGGGCCCGGTCTGACCGCCCACTCCCTGCGAGGCCAGGTTCCACGGCCTGGGTTTTGTGTGGCTGGGCAGCCCAAAGGGCGCATCTTCCCCAGAAACCACTTAGCGAGAGTGCCGGAGACCAGAGACCTGAGACCCTGGAACCCACGTGGCCCTGTCTGGTCTTCACAGTGACCGCTAGTGAACTTGTACGGCGAGAGGAGCCCAGGGCTGACTCCAAGGAACCGCAGGAAAAGGAGAGGAAAGCTTCCTACTCTGTAGGCGTCCTGAGCACAGGGACTCAAGAAACACAGCGGCTGGCCCTTGTCTTGAAGCAGAACAGGCTACGTGTCGAGGACGGGCCGAGGGGGCTGCGTAGATGGCTTAGCAGCAGGGGCGCTGACCACGAACCGGAGGCTGCCTCCCTCGGCCACAGCGAGAGCTCTCAGGGGCCTTCTGCCCTGGTGCTGCCTGGGCTGGACCTGGACTTC